CACCATGGGAAACACACAGATCAGGTACCACAGTTCTGGGTGCTCCGTGATGTTGGGAAGATTATACAATGGTGGCCTAGAGGATAGTTCTTTCTTTGTCTTCTTCATAAATTGTAAGTCATTGTTCTCTACTGGTAAACCCGAACGACCAACCCTTCTCTCCTTCACTATTTTCCAATCTTGATTATGTAACTGCATTGGTACTCACACTCAACACACATTCCACTGCAACTTCGAATCTTGAACGTTTTGAATGGACAATATTATCCAGTAATGCATTTCAAAGTATCAAAGCTCTACTTCTAAGCCAATTTTTATTTTGAACACCCATGCAGAAATTACTCAAAAAGCTAAGACAGATATTTGTTTCTGAGTTTTGGTTTATGGAATGGAATACCTAGGAATAGTAGTTGATTCAAGTCTTCGCAAAAGAAAAGATTGATTGCTAAATAAAGATGTGGTGACCTTCTTGCTGCCACAGCTAAACTGGAGGTCTAGATCACAGATGTCACACTTTCAGATAGTAATTGTCGCCGTGGCCTGCATTCACTGGTTTCATTCTTGAATCACTACACATCAATCCCTCTCCCCTTTCCTCAGTAGGTACGATTTTCCTCAAGGCGTCCGTCTCAGAAAAACGTTTCCTATTAAGAGTTGTTTGGAATCCATTGGTTCACCCCGTTTCAGGAGACAACCAACATGATAACTGTGGGAAATTGCAGTCCAAGTTTGATGAATCACCCAAAGCACCATCATGCTGTAGCTCTTCCCCAGGGCTGAAGTTCTTGTCAGCCTGATGCAGGTTCTTAGTTTGAGCTTTCCACTAGAATTGTGAAGTGAAGCAGCTCTAGCACACAACATGAACTGAATTTTAAGATTTAGTAAATTCTCAGTGCACTTCATTGCATTATTCGGAAGATTCATTATTACAATTATTAAAAGCATGTAATGTTTCAATCCTCTCGTTGAGTGCGTGTATCTTAAAAATTCTATCTGCTAGATGAAAGCAAGTCTGAGCACCACATATGTCAAAATCTGGCACGTGTATAGAAGTATGATTAGATTCTTTTGTGACGAGATACAAATTTCGAGCAGTTACGACGTCAGCTATTGATCAACCAGCCTATTTCTATTCACCGTGCTGAAGAATCCTTAGTCATGTCTATCCACTGGAATATACACTGCAACTGACATCGCGACAGATCTCATACCCCATCCTGATCTCCTTCAACACTAGCGGGTGATATTGCTCATTACGCAAATATGTAAGTGCAAGGTTTTCAGTTTCTCTTATAATTGATCTTCTTGATTGTGACTCTACATGATCACGTCAGGCTGTGCTTTCTATCGTATTGTATCAGGGTATGATCGTGTTGTATATTTTAATATCTTAAAAAATCCAGTATGAGCACATTTTGAAATGTTGAGGCTTTTGTTTGTGAAGTTTTGAGAAGAGTTAGTTTGAAATTAGTCTGATCAAATCTTAAACTCATCATACCAACACCAGATTTGGTACTTAGTTTACAACCATGCCTTGGACAGATCATTCTGATCGGCTTGAAATGTGACTTTTGCAGGTTTACAAGCCAATGCAGGTATAAAAATCAGATGTTGGGGTTTTGAGTATGCCGCCTGCGTAGATTGCAGAGTAGTTGAAAGTAAAATCTGTATCTTCAACGCCGCTCAACAGGTTTACTTCAGCGATTTGCATTTCCTGTGACAGTGAAAGCATGCTTGAAATACATACGCATGTAGTTTGAACGGAATTCCATCTCACGAAATGAAACCTCTCGATTAAGATTCTTGTCCCACGCTATTGCACATTTCCTGATCGAGCATCTACTCCTCATTTTGACCAACACTTAGCATGAACAGAAAGATGTGCCACAAGTCGAAAAAGACCCATCACAAGAGCCAGAGTCCAATACTCATCTTGCATTTGGAATCAGTAAACGTTCCTGAGACATATTCACGAAAGGCTGTCAAGGCCATCGTGGCAGTGACAGAAGAACCTGCAGCAATGGAAGGTATTCAGAGGCACGGCCACTTCGTATCTTTTTCAGGCAGCAAAAGCTCGTCGTCGACGACGACCAAGCCAATGGATCGTCGGCTCCTGCACGCCCCCATTCATTCTAGCTCCAAATACCTCAACCACCTCGATGTTTCGACAAAAGCGTTCTCTCCATCACAGTGCTCTCTGATGACGGCTAGATCAGAACCCGTTGTGCACTTGCAGCTAGTTTACACAGACTCACTCAACATGACACTAAGTTCTCCAGTTTCGACGTCCGGAGGTTTACGTGGGCGGAGGTGGCAGTGGACCCACCTCACAGAACAGCAAAACACGACAATGAAACTCACCTTTGGAATCTTCGGCAACCTCCGAGACCCCTGCAACGAACCTCCACTAGCAGTTGCACCGATGCACGCTCATCAGCCGAAGTTGGTCATAGGGCACGTCCAAGGACGAGAAATCCACGGTAAAATAGACGTGCCACGTGGGAAAGGAACTTCCACGGTGGTAGGGCATTGCAAATGGGATCTAGTGATGACTTGGGCACCATGTCCGAGGTGGCAGGATGACACGTGTGAGAGCGATAACTTTCGTGCTGAGCTGTCACCCGACGTGGTGGGCCTTTCTTCCGGAAGCATCGCAATCATCGCAACGCGTATGGGGTCGATTATCCAAAGAGAGAGGGAGAAGAGAAAGTGAGAGTTGGAATCTTTTAGTAAATCGGAAAGGTCCGCCCTGTGTTGACCTACGACCGACCCCTTTGTTGGACTTCAATGAAGGTGAGTGATGAATGACGTGGGGCCGCCACATGGGATTGCTTACTTGGGTGGCTGCTCAGCACCACTTGGCCCAATGGTCCACTTCCGAGCAGCCTCGTTCGTCCAGGGTGGCCCTTCATTCATTCTTATCCTTCTAAAGAAGAAATATATATATATATATATATATAGATATTTATTTATTTATTTATTTACAAAGGGCTGTATTGGTGTACGAGGATACATGATTGAGTAGAATATGGGAAGTGGTTGAGAAGTACTATTGTCTAAGGGGTTTAAAATGAAAGAAAACTCGAGAGGGATTGGGAAATGATGGATAACCAAACAACTACAACAAAAGAAAACTAATAGTAGGACCCACAGAAAAGAAATAGTAAAAAAATATAAATATTAAATAAATAAAAATTCTACGTTGGTAGAGGATCAACTGAAACATGCTTTTTTCTGAAACAAGGTGACTTCTCATTGAAGCGTTTTTTTATTTATGTGTTTCATCTTTTGTGGGATGTAGTCTTTGTCAAAAGTATTGCTACATATTTCATTGAAATACTGAATAATTATGTGGATATGGAGGATTTGGAGAGCAAGGTATTAGAAATCCTTACATGATTTTTTTTTAAATGAACTTTAATAGTAAATAATTTTACCAACTTTAATAAAAGGTAATACAAAACATCCACTCTTGCTCATTGGTATCATTTCACAACAGTCTATCAAAACTTCCTTTCAATGTTGAGATGTCACACGTGCTATAAACATGAAAACTACACATCTATATATTTATATATATTCACATGCAACAACATTCATTCATTCATGAATCTACTTCAAAAAGTCAACAACTCATTCATGAATCTTCACACAAGAGTGAAATATATATATATATATATATTTATATATATACACAAAATGACTGATGTATTACAATTTGATAAGTATATCATGCAATGATGTGTTGTAGCATGTTGTTATGACCAAGAACATTTGGTACAAAATGGCTTATAGAAAATTTGGGATAGTTAATAGTTAAATGGCATAATCAGAAAAAATGCATCAAAGATTTGCTTATGCTGTTGAAGCTGTAGCTAGTAATAACATTTGCATATGTATTTTTAAATGCTTTATGAATCTAAGAGGTGTATATGTAAATACCATGCACACCAAGTTGAACATCACAAAACAAAACAAAACTATGACAAAAGAATTGCAAATAATTAGTGAAGATGAAAGATTGTCAAATAGCTCACTTAATAACAAATTAAAAAATCAATCAACAAAAATGAGGGAAACATATGCAATAATAGTAACATGTAAGAGAAAGAGTTGGAAATTAGATAAGTGCAAAATAAAAAAACATATATAGACAAGACAACATATTAAGATTTTTATGGCAATATTCAAGAATCCTTACAATCAATCAAACTTAGAATCGAAGATAAAAAAATAAATATAATTTATAGAATATTTAAAACTAAAAATTAGGATATTTAAAAAATATATATATATATTCTCTATTCCAAAGAACCAATGCCTAGGATTTTTATACATGAAATAATATTAATCTTTTTAAAAAAATAAAGAGTTCTTTTAAATTCAAAAAAAGGGGATAAATATCGACTTTATTTTTCACATCACTTAACCGACAGAAACTAATTCCTTCCAAAAATTAATTTAAAGAAATAAGTAAAATAAGATTTTTTTATAGTGGTACTTTATCATTATTTTGTAATTTTTTCTTCTTGAAAATAGGAATCGTTTGATTTTTGATTTTTTGTAATAAATATTATTTTAATATTAAAATAATGTATAGAATCCTTGTGCTAGCTCAAATTAGTACTCATCAACTTATAAAATTTGAGATTCATCATATACATAAATATATGAATATATTAGTTTGTTATTTTTTATTGGTTTATTTGTAAAAAAAATTAGTACATTAATTTTTGTTCATAACGTCTGGTGATATTTCTAATTTGTAAAGTATTAATGTGGTAAACTATATCCTATACAAACGAAGAAAAAATGGGTTTGTGTACGGGTGATAAAAACGTATACCCGGGACTCGATAACGATACCCGTTTAACCATGGGGAATATACCCGCCAGATCCGGTCTTCAGTAACGGGACGCGCGTGGCGGTTACAGCAGCCAAGACAAGGAAGCCCGCCGACGGTGAACACGAGGGCAATTAGCATGTGACTCCGTGTTCTTCTCGTCGTGGTCACCGCAATCGACCGACTGCCCCGCGTCCCCGCCTCCAATTCATGCACCTCTTCTTCAACCTCTGCGTCGGTGCATAGCTTTCCAATGCTTCCCTCTTTCCTGCATTCGTAAGCCTTGCATCTTCTCAAGTTCTTCCCAACATTTTCCAGAGAATCTTCCTCGTATCTTTTTTCTCCAAGCGAATATGGTGTGGCAGGCTTAGGGGTTGAGTACTTTAGTTTTTGGATCAAATTGATGGCTTCGAGGGTCTCGGCGATGCATTTGAGGAGTTGGACCTTTGTGCGGAGAGAACACTGTCGATGTGGTTGTTTCCGAGCTCAGGCCGTCGGAGCAAAGTGTGGATCCATCTTCCGACAATCTTGCTGAATTTACACAATTGTATGGTATAAGTTTCTGTCGCAGGCCATTTCTGTGTGAGTTCTGATGGACTTTATTGAGTGATCTGGAACCGCGTTGAAGCTTTTCTTGAATATGGGCTTGAGAAGTTTTTTCGTAGCACGGTTTTTAAGAGGAAGCTAGTGTTGAAAATAGGAGCCCGAAGAATTGTAGGTAGAGTGCAACAGTATTTCGAAATTTCTAGTGGTACGCCCGTGTCTTGCATTTGTAATCGTTGACTTCGTGACGGAGCTCCTATTGCTCGTCTTTTATCTCGGGGAGTTTTGAGAAGCGCACGTTGAGGACTATCACTTTCTCTTCAATGGAGATGGGTCTTTATGCAGAAGGCGTGGATCATGAGAGGAGATTCTTGAGCTCCGATTTGCTTGGCGAGATTCTCAGCCGAGTGGATGCATTAACTCTCGCCAAAGCAAGCTGTGCGAGCTCTGAATTCCGCCGACTTTGTGCAAGCGAAGCATTTTGGGAAAGACTTTGCAATCTGCGTTGGCCTTCCACAAAACAGGCTGCTGCTAAGGACTTAATCTTGCAGACTGGGGGTTACAGAAAATTCTGCGAAAACTGTCATCCTTGTCTCTCGGGCACAGGAACAGCAACAGTAGAGCACTGTGATTATGTTGAAGGTGAAGAAGTATGTCCTTCAGATTTTAGCTCGATTATAGATGTCATGTACAATGGCCAGGTTTTGGTCTCAAGAACTATTGCTGGTTTTTTTGGAGCCGAGAAATCCAGAGACTGGTTCGATAATAGTCCTTTCATGTTTGATCTTCTGGAGGGTACTGACGAGGTTAATGGCTTTCACAAAGACGACGAGGGCATCACCGCCGTGGCGATTCAGACGGAGCTGTCTTCAGTTTCATCAGCGGAGGGTTTGTGGAAAGCTTTGAACGAGAACATGACAGTCAGTTGGATTTTGGTCAACAAAAAGACTGGGCGGATGGTCAATCTAGCAAGCTGGAAACCTGTAGATGGACTCAGGCACTGGCCTTGCGATGGCGACTTTGTGCTTCAATTCGGGACTGTTATCCCCTCAACCGAGCGTCTCCGCAATCACGCCGTACACTGTAATGTTGCGGCGAAAGTCAGACACTTCAATGTGGGGACCGCAGACGGAGGTTGCAAACCCGTGATAGGTGTAACAGAGGTTGGCATGAAGCTGGAGAATATCGGAGGAGCTCGGTTGAATGGGCGGGAGAGCGTAGCTTTACTCGACAAAGTGTTGAGTTGCAACAGGACCGTCTCCTTCTCCACTGTATTGCACTCCCACCGGGAATTTCACCGCAACAGAGTGGCTTGGAAAACGGAAAGGATTCGGCAAGAGAATCAGCGTGAACTGACCGTAGCACTCATCAGTGGGGTCGGCGCATTCCTCTGTCTCTGCTACTGTCTTTCATAACTCAGCTCTCACTACCAAAAATTCGAACCACATCCAACCAACTTGTACATTGAATCATTACTTGCCTTATAGAATTCGAAGCTGCTTTTGGCAGGAACAGCGCACCTAAGCAATAGGACAACAACCAACTTCATGTAACATTATAGTATCGTCTATAGTAAGATAAAAACAGCAATTCATACACCTGCGGAGAATTGTGATAATTTGTTCTGCACTTCCTAATCGCTCCCTTCATCATGCGCTTCTTTTCTCTGTCAATTGTGGGACCAGGATGCATTACATGTCTGCCTGCCAGCTGCTGCTGCATCTTCGTCGTCTTCTACTTTTATAAACTTCTTCGTCGCTCTGGTAGCTCACCATCAGCAGTACCCTAGGAAGAATTTGTGGAGCCCTCCAGACTGTAATGCTTCACGGACGTGATTCGGGCGTTTCTTGGTCATAGTGAGGTGAGCGTCAGGCGAGCCGCCGACCCATGTCTCCGAAACTTCATCCTTTTTCATTCATTCATTTATTTGTTTTCTTTCATTCATTTGGATGCCTTCTTCGCATTACACCGTCATTGCAATGTCGTCATGTTTGCCTGTTGGAGAATCAAGTATTTTTGTGGGGAATGTCGTCATGTTTGCATGTTGGAGAATCAAGTATTTTTGTGAGAAAATGTGTAGGGTTTTATATAGATCCCGACACCTTGCAAATCTTGAAGTTTCAGGGTTACAACATCAAAATCGTTTTGCAAGTGAATAATGCATGAGACAATAGAAAGAATTCATAATTATAAACGTAGAAGATGTGAGTACATTGGAGAAATGAATGTTGAATGCTCACATATTGCATTGGATAGATGAGAAACTTAAAGCATTAGACAAATAGAATCCAAAGTTTAGAACATTTTGCTTACAAGGAAATATATCTCTATTGCTTTTAAGTGAACCAATGTAGCTCTTTTATATATTGCTAGATTAAGATGATGTATCATCTAAGGAATTTTGAAAAAATATTTGCTAATACAATGTTGCAATTGCATTTTCATCACTTAAGGTAGAAGTGGATCTAATCAGACTTTATAACAATGCAATTTATTCTTTCAATAGTCATAGAGGATTACAATATTTAATAAGGTCATTTCCTATAGACAAGGATTTACTAAAATTTGCATAGTTACATATCTATGATTCTGAAGAAGTATAAAATATTTGATAAGAATATAACAACAACTTGAATAGAGTGATCTTAGATGTATTATAAGAATAACTCACAAAATATAATTTATATATTGCATAATATCAAAAAACACACAATATTGAGGTGGACTGTTGTGCATGATTCACAAGGATCATATGTCACACACATACACATGTAAGCTAGTAATTATCTGTATAAATAGATAGAAGTAAGTAGAAGTAGGTAAAAGTAAGTTAATTCTATACTATCTTCTATAAAAGCTTTTTAGAAGCTTCATAGATACTGCTTTGATTTTATAGGTATCTATAATTGACTTTTTGGATTAGAAAAGTGGTCAACAAGTTAGCCATGTATCACACATGTTGTTAGCTTGAAGACCAAGTTAATTATGTGGCCTACACATAAAAAATCTTGCCTTGTAAGTCAAGGCATGTGTCCTACAAAGTCAACACATATTGGAGGTCCTATAAAACATCGCCACATAGCCCTTAGTTAAATAGTATATAAAGAGACAAGAATAAAGCCTTTTTCAGTCTTATCAATTCCTTTCTTTCTTCTAATCTAGTTTCAAGAGTCTCAAGTTTCCTTATCTTTTGGCAATAAGCCATTCCGGTTTATTTTTAATATACATATTTCCTTATTTTTATTTTATTACTCTTTCTTTGATACAAATTTCATTGGTTTATGCATTATCTTTTACTTCATGTCCTTGACAGATTGACAAGAGTACACTTACAATATCAGAGCTTTGTCTTGGCTTATTTAAGAGTGGATTATTTCTTTCTCATAATAAGACATAAGCATATTAGAAGTTGTGGATTACCCTCTTCTAAACTCATATTATTCTAAATATTTTCTTTGTCCTCAAGTCCTTTCTTTTACTTGTCTTCAATAGTATTTGATATTTTTTTGAGTGTTATTATAGCAGAGCTTGTTGAAATGAAGAGTGCAATGGCACAAATGCAAGAAAAATTGAAGGAATTCATACTTGTAATGCATCAACTTAGCTTACGACTACAAGGATCAACAAGAATGGTAGGAAGTGAGGATATAGAGATGATTAAAGTTGCTTCAATATCTACACCAAATCATGTCCTTCCACCCAGAATGTAATATCCTTCAAGTGTTAGAGAACCAAGAGTTGCCATGCCCAAAAAGTTTGATGGTACAAGATTCAAATTTTGAAGATTTATCAATCAAGTATAACTTGAGATTGAACTTCAGCCTTAAAGCTATCCAACTCTAGGATCAGAAGTTAAATTCATTGGTATACTTCATTCAAGTTTAGCACTATCGTGGTTTTCATCTTTTCTTGAATAATGAGATCCAATATTGGATAATCTGAAGGTATTTTTGGCAAAATTTTGGTCTATGTATGGAGAACATGATGCAATTCGTATTACAACCAACAAGATCCGTATTTTGTAACAAGGCAATCGATCTGTAATGTTATATGCTTCATAGTTTTGACAACTTGCAACTGATATCAAGTGAGATGATCCTCTACTTATTAGCCAATTTCTCTATGGATTAGAATATGAAGTAAAGAAATTGATCCTCAACTTACCTGATCTTCAAACATTGAGTCAATCAATTGACTTTGCTATGAAATGCGACAATCAACTTTTTGAATTTTGATATGAAAGTCGTACAATTGGGCCTAAATGTTACTACAATTTGATGGCAATACCAACATCTCTTCAATACATACATTCAAAAGTAGAGGATATGCAAATTGATGCAGTACGTTTTAAAGCTCTTACCGAGCAAGAAAAGACTCGTCATTGTCAAGAAGGATTGTGCTTATATTATGGAGAACCTAAACACACTACTCAACATTGTCCAAAGAAGCAACAAAATCACAAAATGAGGAGCACATTTGTCAAAGAAGACAATGTGTTGGAAAACGAATTTGTCTAGCTACAATAGGCATTGTGCCATTGGAATCTTATACAATTTTTAATAAAGGTCCTATCCTCTTCTCAAAACCTTCTCTTTGTTTTATAATCAATGTGCATTTAAGACCTAATAATTATAAAGCCTCCACCTTGATAGATTCAAGAGCCTCAACTTTTTTCTTAGACGTAGAATTTGTTAAAAGTCATAAAATATTGTTAGTACAAAAAATCAAATATGTTCATATAGAAGTCATAGATGGTCGTCTGTTGTCTTTTGGAGATGATACTCATGAAAGACTTCTTATAGATGTAGCAATAAATGGTCATAGTAATTGCATAATCTTTAATATAATTAGATCTCTCTCTAGTTTAATCATTTTAGGTTTATTATAGTTAGAAAAGTATAATCCTTATATAGATTGGATTTCTTGTATCCTTGACTTCTCTAAAAGCATAATTAAGAGTGAAATTAATCTAGTAAAAAGTCATAAGTCTAGTGCAATTAAACTTATGTTTGTACGTGCAAGAGCTTTCTTGCATGCTGCAAAAGAAGGATCACCTTAAGTCATTTACGCCACACCTGTTTCTAATGATGTGAAGACTTTAAGTGGCATTCCCAGCCAATATCAAGAATTTTAAGATATATTTGAGAAGAAGAATGCAGATACTCTTCCAAAAAATCATCCCTACAATTGCTCAATTGACATTCAAGAAGGAGCACAACCGCTATTTGGACCAATCTATAGTTCATCACAAAATGAATTGGTTGAATTCAAAGAATATATTGAAGAAAATCTGGCGAAGAATTTCATATGCCATTTCAAATCACTAATAGGAGCTCCAATCTTATTTGTGAAAAAGAAAGATGGATCATTGTGGATGTGTATTGATTATTAAGGACTCAACAAGATCACCATTAAGAATAGGTACTTTCTAACTTTGATATCCGGACTTCTCGATCAACTGAATCAAGCTAAGATCTACACAAAAATAGATCTACGGGGAGCATACAATCTAGTATACATTAAATAAAGAGATGAATAGAAGACTGTATTTTGAACTAGGTATAGGCATTTTGAATACAACGTCATGCCTTTTAGACTTACAAATGCACTGAAAGCTTTTCAACATCTAATTAATGATATTTTTTGAGAGTTTTTAGACAATTTTATTGTCTATTATTTGATTGACATCTTGATCTATTCTTAGAATACAAATGAACATGAACTTCATGTTCATTGTATGTTACAAAAATTAAGAGATGCGGGATTCTATGCCAAGATAGAAAAGTATCTATTTTACACTACTCAAGTCAACTTTTTAGGATACATCATTTCAAATAATAGACTTATGATGGATTTTAACATCTTCAAATGATTATGGATTGGAAGATTCTAAAAATGATAAAAAATGTCCAATATGTTTTGGGCTTTACCAACTATTATCGGATCTTCATAAAATACTTCTCTTGAGTTGTAGCTCCACTTACACATTTGACTTGCAAAGACAAACTCGAGTGAAGCAAAGAAGCTGAAGCATCTTTTGAAATTTTGAAGTCAACCTTTATTTGTGCACCAATCTTGTATCATGTCAACTTTTCTAAGGTATTTTTTATGGAAATAGATGTATTTGACTTTGCTTTGAGTGTTGTATTATCACAAATGAGAACAGATGATAAATTTCACCTAGTAGCTTTTTATTCCAGAAAATTTTTAGTAGCCAAGATTTATTATAAAATCTACGATGAAGAACTTCTTGCAATCATGGATTCATTTCAAAAATGTGGTCATCATCTAGAAGGTGCTTCTGATTTAGTCACTATATATACAGATCATAAGAATCTCAAGTATTTCTTATCAACACATGTTTTAAATCATTGTGAAGTCCGTTGAGGCATGTCTTTATCAAGATTTGATTTCAAGATCACATATCGACCCAAAAAATAATAAGATTTATCGGATGTCATTTCTAGACATTTTTATCTTGCACTAAAAGAAGGAGATGTATCTTTTGATCAACAAAGAACAATTCTCTTGAAGCTAGAGCATTTTCATCTTTGAGTAATGAAATCAACATTGACTATTGATTCGACCCTTGTGAAACAAATCCAATCAAGTATGTCTTCTGATCCTCTTGTTCACAATATCAAGAATCCTT